AACTCAAACCAGAGCACAGACAGATCCTCCATGATATTACACTCCAAGGCCAAACAATCCTCACAGAAGATGATCTTGAAGGAAGTCGACCCCTTGAACGTGGTGACATAAGCTTCTTCTCATTATGGTTGATGATGTCAGCATTATCAGATGCTTCCTTTTCAACATTTATGGAGCAGTATGCACCTATGATGGGTTATGAGATCTCTTACGACAAGTACTATGAGTTCAAACTGGATATTGACCAAGTTCTCAAGGACAATGAACACCTTGGCGCAGAAAAATTCTTTGGAGCAGAGGATCCTCATATGGTGGACGATGATCCAGACACTCCACTTCCAGATCTTCAAAGACCAGGCGCAGGTGATCCTGAGTACAAGCATACCATTGAAAGTTTGAACATTGAGGACAAACATATCATTTTGGAAACTGATGATGACAAATTGGTTGAGTGTACATTGAAATGGATCAGTATGTGCAATCAGAATGTTCAACGAAAGATCAAGGAACAGTTTTGTCAAACAAGAAGAACGACAAGAGAAAGAAGAGGATGAAGAAGAGGAGATTGCTGTCGAAGAAAAAGAAGAAGAAAAAGACACACAGGAGCCACATGTCCCAGCTGAATGCTCTTCAGAGAAAGAGGAATCAGCTCCACCTGAACGCTCCTCAGAAAAGGAGGAATCAGGGGAGAAGAAGACAGACATTCAAGATGATGAGACAGCTCCTGAAGTGAAACCTGCAGTTCGACTTTACTATGGTCAAGATATCACTGGAAACGAAGATGATTCAGTTTTTCGAAGATTGAAGGATTGTTTTTCAGATGGTTACCATGGTGAATGGGCAGGATTTTACAACAAAGGTTATCCAGCGTCTTCGAAGCATCGACATATGTTTTGGCATGTTAAGTACAGGAAGACCATGTCTCCACATCATGATTTTTGGTACCATCTTACAGATGACCAGTTGATGGTTGAGTACATTGCCAGACACAAGAATCAGGATCCACAACTAGAATTACAAGAACTTAATCAGCGCATTGAATATGGTTGTAGTGATCCAAGGATGCATCCTCTTCATCAAGACAAAGCAGAAAGATCCTCAAAAGAAGCAGAAAAGAGGATTGATGACGATTTTGGAAATCTCACAAGGGTACTCCAAGATTACGTTGAGGACCACAAGGTCTTGCCTTACTGTATGATCTTGCATAGCTTGGCTTACAGGTATTTAGGTGGAGGCCTATCAGACCCAACGTACAAGGATGCTGAATTTCCATACAGATCCTCTCCACAGATAACAGCAATGTTTTGGAATTTGGGAAACTGGTGCAGAAACAGATTTGAAAAATGCCCGGTTCCAGAAAGATTTCAACAATTCATTCCACACATTGACTACACCATCGATGAGGATCATGAAAAATTTGATGAAAACAAATCACAGTTCAACAATTACTTCATCAATGTCATCAAGAACTTTGGAGGACATCTTTTCATGAATTGCGAGGCTGGTTCGTTGTATCCTCACAGAGAAAGACTCGACGAGGTTGACTTTAAAACTTGCTTCAATGACTATCATGACTTGATGGTGGCAGCTCGCCTTGGAAAGGATGGCTATATCAAGCAAATTGCTGGATATCACACAGATGACAACGACACACGAGTTCGACAAGTCTCATGGGCAATCTTTGAAGTATCTTGGGGAAAGACAAAGGATCGAGATACAGATGAGATTGTTGACTTGACAAGAGCTAGGATGAGAATGACACGTGTGTGCGTTTATCACGTCGGACAGAAGTATGCATCAGACTCTGCTGGGATTGTTGGTGAGTGCTTAGCTGTTATGGCTTTTGAGTGTGCCAGATATCAAGTTGACTTCATCGCAGGTGATGGAAACAAGGCATGCTATTACAGCACACCAAAATCTCCAGGTGTCCCTACATATCAACACAGCCTTATCCAATTCTGGATTAACAGAATGGTAGGTGTTGCAACACAAGCCATGCGCAAGAATTTTGATCCAACTTGCCCTCCAATCAGGGTCAAGCATTTCATTTCTTGCAGTTATCGTGACTTGGATTTTCTTGCAACGCACTTGGATGGCATTACAACAGCAACATACACCGACGAGCTCATGAACAAGACAAATGGTAAAGGTGATTGTTGTATGTTAACAGTTGTTGAGTGGGGTCATTCACGTTTGATGTGTGAGGAACACCCAGAAGACTTTGAGGATGAAGATCACATGAACTATGTGGGTGAATTTTACTTCAAGGTAAATGAAACTTGCTTACATGGTGATCACAACATCTTCATGGTTGCTCCAAATGATCGCGATGCTCATAATCCAATTCTTATCCATCTTGATCCTTCTGATATGTCATGGAATGAACGACATCATTACAAACAGGCCTACAAGAAGAAGCAGTATGCTGATTCAAGAAAGGAAAGACAGAAGGAGAAAAAGAGAAAGGCATATGAAGATCAAGCATCGACGTATCAGGGCAACACAGAGTGGGGTGGATCCTCATCTTCAGCGTCCAGACCATGGAGATCAAGTGAGTGGCGATGAGTGAGTGTACACTTCTTTAATTGAAGATAACACAGCATGAGAAGCCGTGTACAGTTTTTCTGTGCGTTCAACTTATTTCACACAGATGGCATATACTCTTTTAGATAGAGATAATGCCACAAGTGTCTGAACTTCAATTTAATGTAAAATAGAGACTCTTGTAAATAGAGATACTATATACATTTATCTCCATGAATCATCCGGCGAGCAGACCACTCCGAATGGAGCGAACTTCAAAAATTTACCAACTTCGATTTCAGTCCATTGTTTGCTTGAATGAGCAACTTTGGAGATCCGCTATTTCCGTTTATTTCGTGATTTGGTCAATTGTTTTTCGTATGACCTGAATTTCTGAATCTTGCGAACCCGAACTTTTCAATTCGAACTTTCACCGGTAGAGCAAGGCATTTTGCCTGTGGAGAGACCGTGCGCGAAGCACCATTGGTCGCTACTGGAAAAATTAGCGAATCCGCTGTTCTTTTTCGACATGTCCTTAGGACATTCGCTGCTTTCACGTGTTTTTCAATTCGAAGCCACTGCGTAACTCCGGTTTCTTTTGCTATTTGCCATTGTGTAGAGAAGTCAGGAAGATACTCTTAATACCAATTGGGTACGGCAAGGCGTAGTGCTCTACTCATTGCTTTTGAATTTGTGCCTGTGTTTTTGTTTCGACCTAATACCTACATAGGTACATGCATGAGTATTGAGCACATTTATATGCGCCCTCAAGGCTCAAGAGGTATATAGAGTAACCCTGTAGACAAGCACTGACCGGCAACAGGCTGAGAGTAAAAGAGTGCTGTCATTGGGGAAGACGCCTTAGCTGATCTTGAAGTAGACGCTAGGGCCCCTCTTCAGCCCTCCCCCCAATCCCCCCCTCCCGCTTTTTTTTATTTAAACTTAAACCCAAGTTACATTAGTTGGTTTTTGCGAACTAACCTTCTCTGGAAAGCTGACAGGATTACATGTGATAGATAGATAGATAGATAGATAGATAGATAGATAGATAGATAGATAGATAGATAGCTTGATAGATAGATAGCTTGGTAGATAGATAGCTAGATAGATAGATAGCCAGCTAGATAGATAGATAGCTAGATAGATAGATAGATAGCTAAATAGATAGGTAGATAGTTAGCTAGATAGATAGATAGCTAAATAGATAGGTAGATAGTTAGCTAGATAGATAGATAGCTAGATAGATAGATAGATAGATAGCTAAATAGATAGGTAGATAGTTAGCTAGATAGATAGATAGCTAAATAGATAGGTAGATAGTTAGCTAGATAGATAGATAGCTAGATAGATAGCTCGATAGCTAGATAGCTGGATAGACAGCTGGATGGCTAGATAGATAGATAGCTAGATAGATAGAAAGCTAGATAGCTAGATAGCTAGATAGATTGCTAGCTAGATAGCTCGATAGCTAGATAGCTGGATAGACAGCTGGATGGCAAGATAGATAGATAGCTAGATAGATAGAAAGCTAGATAGCTAGATAGCTAGATAGATAGTTAGCTAGATAGCTCGATAGCTAGATAGCTGGATAGACAGCTGGATGCTAGATAGATAGATAGCTAGATAGATAGAAAGCTAGATAGCTAGATAGCTAGATAGATAGTTAGCTAGATAGCTAGATAGGTAGATAGATAGCTAGCAAGATAGCTAGCTAGATAGGTAGATAGATAGCTAGATAGATAGATAGCTTGCTAGATAGATAGCTAGCTTGCTAGATATAGATAGCTAGCTAGATAGCTAGATAGCTAGCTAGCTGGATAGATAGCTAGCGCCCTCCCTCAATCCCCCCCGCCCGCTTTTTATCTAATCCCAAGCTTCCGCATCTGTAAATATTTGGGTGAACATGCTCACATGTAGAACATCCCATGCAAAATGGAAGGTGAACATGCCAAAATGTGGCAAATACCATACAAAATGGAAGGTGAACATGCCCACATGTAGGAAATCCCAGGCAAAATGGGAGGTGAACATGCCAAAATGTGGCAAATACCATACAAAATGGAAGGTGAACATGCCCACATGTAGTAAATCCTATGCAAAATGGAAGGTGAACATGCCCAAATGTGGCAAATACCATGCAAAATGACAAATTCAAGTTCCAAACCGTTGCAAACACTAGGCAAATGGTACCAGCCAAGAAATCCAAAAAAAAATCCCAAACCTGCTCCAAAAAAAATTCCTAAAACTATTTCACACCCTCGTTAAAATCCCAGTCACAATTTCACGGCCGTCTACGGAACAGGAACCTAGTTACAGAGGGAACGTGATGATCGACCATCAAATTATTGAGTGTAGCAATCCCAAAAAGGTAGAAAAAATATTTGCTCAGATTTAGGGTCGGATTTTATTTTTATTTTTTTTGTGGTTACTACACACTATTTTGAAAGTCATTGGGCCATGTTGCATCCCCTGATGAGGCTGGATGCTGGTGCCATGCTTCGAGCTTGTGATGCATTTGGAGCTACTTGCCGAAATTTGGGCCAAAATCAGTTTTGGTTTTGGTGGGTCAGGATTTTCGGATATTCATGTCAGATATCCATAAATGGGGTTTTAATCAATAATCGATGGGGGTTTCTATATATAATCGATATCTACAATCAATGGGGGTTTCTAACCATATGTTTTTCTGATTCCTGTGGAAAAACAACATCTAACAGGAATCTAACAGCTATCAGCAGGCATTGGAGGTGGCACCACCATCCACGAACCCCTCAAGTTGGCTAGTTTCCAATTTGCTCAGCCGAGGTGGCCGAAGTTCACTTCGTGTTTGAAGCGACAAAGGCCTTTGATCCTTTGGCCAACCGTCAAGTGATGAAGTCCGAGGGCTCCAACCTTTGGGTTTGCTCCAGAGTCTTTCACAAGGAGGGAGTGAAATTTTGGGAGGAATGAGTTGCAAGTCCGAAGTGAATCAAACTATGGTGTGTTCATTTTGCCAAGAAATTGAGTGTTTTGAGACCAAGACACAAGTTCTGCGTCAGAAATAGGAGATGTTTCTTTTGAACGATTCCCCATGACAGAATTGACTGAGTCATAGTTCCATTTTTCCATGTATTTTTCCATGTATTTTCTCCACCAGGCAGGAGATTGCTTCGAGCACTTGACCCAGCGTGGCTTCACGCACGCACTGCTGAGCCCCGACCCTCAGCAGCCATCGGAGATGGTCTTTGAGAGTCGTTTGGGGCTGGAACCGCAGGCAAGGTGACTAGAAAGTCATGAGGCCTTGGCTGAAAATGTGGGATATGTGACGTGGGATAACCCCCCAAAATGGCAATGTTAAGAGGGAAACTCAGGAACCAGTGAATCTAGACGTATCATATTTTTGGACAAACCCAAAAGGTGGAGAGAAACTGAGAGTGGTGCAAAAGTCCACATGTTCATTCCTCCAACGGAAACATGAGGCTCACATCATTTCGTGCCATGAGATACTTTCCATTGTCCAGTTTTTGACCTTTCTCAACACTGGAAGTGCTGGGTGAGAACAACTTGGACAAGCTTGACTACCTGAAAGCATATGCTTTGTACCATCAAAGAAGAAACTGCCGAGTCATTGTTCATCAATTCCTTCAGGTTTCCACGTGCAAAGCTCCTTCTCGGGAAATGGAGTGCGTTTTCCCTTATCTCTGTATTCTTGTTTGGTTTGTAAAATCGGCCACTCCAAAGTCCCCTTGTCCGTCATCATTTCCTGCCTTGAATTGGAATTTCAAGGTGTTTGGGTCGATACCTTATACACCAAATTACAAGTGTTTATTATCATTGTCCCCATTAAAATGCCCGATCATATGTCATAGGGTATCCCGATGTATCCCGCATATGGCTGGGCAGGTGGCACTTTGGCTCGGCAGACCACCAGCGCCATCCATGACACGGCTGGGCCTCCCGGGGGTGGGGAAAGCGTTGGCTGCCTCCAATTTCGTGGCCCTGGTGTTGGCTGAGCTGGTACGACAACGGAGGCCTAGCTGCAGTGGAGTTTTCTAGGGTGGAAAAACACAGAGCTGCGGGAATTGCAGTGGTTTTTGTTTGGGTTTATAAGCAAACACCAAAGTGCCATGAAGTGCCAAAGTATGCAAAGCAATTACTCGCAAAGGAACGAAGGGCGCGGCCTCAGGATTTCCTGCCACAAAAACTGGCTAGATTTTTGGGTGCTCTTGCGAGGACTTCAGCACATCAGAGAAGGCTACCTTCAAAGCTTTTGTTCAGTTCTTTCGACCTCAAGTTTTAGTGGCCTTCTTTCTTGAGACTAGCTGTAAAAAAAACGGCTCACCACAGTCAAATCCATCCAGAAATATTAGCTGTTTGCCACACCTGGCCAGGATGGCTGTTTGGGTAGCTGTTCTGACGAGAGCGAAGCTTGAGCAAGCTTGCGGATCCTAAGGAATAGCGGCTCTGCCACTTGCTGGCGTTTGACTCCTGATGAGCAATTGTCGTATCTGAAATGGTGCACAGCCGTGCGACTCTTAGCATGTACACTTGTGTTCTGGACAACTTCGGAGATGAGACACGCAGGAATATGTTAGGACTTAATCATTCTAGAAAAAAATGGACACTATTCTTGCAACAATGACAGGTAGATTTTGAGGAGAGCAACTGGACCAAAACGGCCCAAACTTGTATTTGAGTCTACCTGTGTCCCTGCATCTTTGTGTGTTGCAGCAACGGTTTGTGTGAAGAAGGCTACTTCAAAATGCATGCATGGGCTGCATGGTTCATTATTATGTTCAACATTATTGATTTGGCCATAAATCGAGAAAATATGATCAAATGGCAAATGGTGTTTTTTCGTGTGTAAACCAGTGAAATCCCAGATTTTCCGTTGAGGTCCATGCCAAACGCCATCCGAGTGTGTCGCAAGGGGAAGGCTTCGAAGGCTTCGAAGGGGCCATGAGCCCGGAGTATGAACGACTGGGTCGCCTGAGGGCAGAGCTTGCAAGGCAAGGTTGGTGAGGGCCAGTCCATGGAGTTCAGAGGTGCTAAAAACAGAACGATCAGAACGGAAAAGGAGGTGAACCGAGTCAACCGGACTTGGGGAGCAGATCAAGTGGATGAGATTGGGGTGCTGGTTGGCTTCTGTCCACTGGAAAGCAAGAAACCGGAGGTCAAGTTGGCAACTGAGGAAGCAGAAAACATCCAGCAGTGAAGCGAACTCGTTTTGGATAGGTCTGCTATGCGAGTCATCAGGACCTCAGTACATTGAGGACGTTTGAGTGGCTAAAGAACAGGAAAGAACACGGACTTCAAAGATCTGCTGGCGACAGAGCAAGCACACGAGGCAAATGCGTTGAGAGGAAGGTGAAGAAAAAATGCTGCTGCCAGTTCGAGCTGTCCCAAATGCAATTAAAGTTTCCGAATTTGAGGCTGCTGCTGATGATGCCGCCGCCGCTGAGGAGGAGGAGGAGGATGATGATGATGATGATGATGATGAACGTGATGAGACTGATCCTGCATATGAATATCAATACGCATCTGACTATGAATAATGAGGATGACATTGGGACTGACAAACATGTCCACAATGAGTGCGTTGACCGCATGTGATATTTGAGACCCATGGCAGGGCGATGGAATGGCACAATCAGCGCGATCACATGGCAGCCATTTGTTTCTCAGCATTGGGGCGAATGGGGTTGCCGTTGCTATATGTTCAAGCGGCTCATTGCGGCAGTTGGAATCCCAGCTCTGAAAAAAAAGGTGAGGCCTGGGCACCGCAGGACATTGAAGTGCATCAGCCCAAGATCCTTGCAAGATTTGTCCACAATTTCAGCTCAAATTCTGAATACTTTGTCAATTCATGGATAAATTCTCAACCTTTTTGTGCAAGTGCTCCTTAATTGCAACTTTAGGGTCCCAAACAAAGACGATCCTCTTTGGAGATAGTTCCTGCCTGTCACATAATCCTAAACCGCAGCTGCATTGAGATCAGCAGTGAAGTCCAGGACAGAGAAACATCTGACGGGGAGTTTTCACATTGCCAGCCACTTCCCAGTGACTTCCAGTGCCAAATGAGTTTGTGAGTCCAATTTTCCAGCTTAAATCCATCATGACATGATCCGATACTCCCCGTGTTTGGGCAACAAATCCTGAGCTTTGTCTGACGTGTCCAGCGCCATGCCCAAGCGCAAAGCACTGGAAGCTGATGCCGTGTCCATCACTGTGCGTTGGGCCTTGAGTGGAGAAATCCTGTCTGCTGTGTCTATCTCACACGAGGCTGGGGTAAGGGTTGGTTTCTGGGAAGGTCTCCCAGTTCCAGCTGAAGATGTCCGAAATGAAGAGGGTCTCTGGATGTCTCTGGTATCTCCAATTCATTGCTTTCTGATGGTTTTCATTGTCTATTAATACTTTGACATACTTCGAAGTGCCAACTCAACCATGAACTGAGTCTGGTGGATGTTGCGAGAAAACATGTCGATTTAACCAACAAGATCTGGAGATCTTACGTGATATATATAATTATATAATCAAATCTATTCAACCTTTTTGTTTTCCATTTTTTTTTCCCAGCCTAGGCTTCAGTGGAAGATTTGCTGTCTGCTCTTCCGCTGGGGGCCCACGAGCTACAGCACTTGCAGGCGGGGAAGATTGGTTTAACCACCAATAAATGGAGAGTTTATGAACCAAGAACAGGTTTGCCGCAGTAATTTGTGGTGTTGGGAGCAACCCTAAAAAAATTGCGGGGATTGAATCACCATTTAATGGGGGTATATAATGAAATCTAATGAAGATCTGGTTCGTGTCGTGGTTTTCTAAAGATTTGTTTCTTTTTCTTCAAGTAGGATAATAATCCCATTCGACAAATTGAAACCACCAACCAGGGGAGCTTAGCTTTGGACCACACTTTGGGCCCATGGCCATATGCAGAATTGGACAGGACTGTGCCAGCCATGAGACTGGAATCCCCTCAAGATTTGAGACCGCAGTTCAGCCCCAGATGTTTCTGTCGCGAGGTTCTCTTTAAAGAGAAGACTTTGTCACCACAGATTCGCCTTGGTACAGTCGAAGGCCTTCTGGAGTGACTCGATAGCGGGGAACATTGTGATCTTTCTTTTCTTTTTTCTCGCTGTCTTGTTTTTCTTTGCTTGGATACCACAATGCAGATGGAACATGCACATCGAATAGTTGCAGAGGTATCTTCGATTCAGATATTCTGCTAGATTCAGCTGGTTTTTCATCAAAGAAAGACAGTAAACTAAGGGTCCGCGTTTGACTGTTTTCCAGAGAGACATTAAAAGCAGTAGACTGCAGACCGCCCACATCGCAGAACTCGCATACATGCAGCCATTAGATTGACGAAATGCACGTCCGAGGTATGCTGAAGTGGCAGTGGTGAAACGTCCACCGTTGCTGGCAATACTTGGTTGTGATGGGGCTTTAGCCCTTTGGAAGCCTGAGATGGGAGACAGCACGAAGCTGACAGGGGGCGCTACAACCGCTGTGGAACCGCAGGGGGCGCTGTCTTTAAGCCCCTCTTCAGATGGCTCGCAGCTGTAGCTCGAGGGCACAAAGGAGGGTTGAAGTTGTTGAAGTGTTCTGATATGGTCAGCCCAGATTTTATGACTTAACTTTCAAGCACTCAGTACATGTATATAGACTGCAAGACCAACAACCCAAAAAAATACTTATATAATGTGTATATATGTATGTATGTATATATATATATATTGATTGACTTAATCAGTTTTAAAAGGATTGACACAATGAGTCATTGAAGTGAAACAAAAGACAGGATTTCAAAGGGTGCCCTTCAGTGACGAGGTTTTTCTTGTCATCAGGGGTCAATTGACAAAGAGGAACAGGCTTCGGCATGTCTTGGAAGTGATGCCTCGTCCCTGTCGCACCCTGCCGCAGTAAGAAGTTTTGGAGAAACTCAGGGCATTCCTGTCTTGGTTGGCTTGAACCAAGGGGTTTTCCCTTTTGTTACAATGTCTCAGGCAAGTTCAGGTTCTAAACATGTGGGGCTTCAACGGAATCAGCGTGTTCCAGCCTGGAGTCCATGAAACCATCAGTGATATCACTAAATGACAATGTAAAGTGCAAGGCTGCCAGTGTAGAGGTTTCTCCTTTACTTGAAGTGCCTTTCTCTGGGGCGCAAGTTCTTTCAGTTCGGGATTTGTAGACAGCAAAGGCCTCCAGTGTCTTGGGGATTTTGTAGGAAAAAAACACTTTCAGATGTCCGGAAGTATACAGGCTGGTGGGCTATCCACAGGGAGTGGCCAGACTGCTGTCCGTGGAGCAAGCTGGACATCCAGCGGATTCCCACAGGTGTAGTGCCGTCTTTACAGCTCGTTGTGGTGCAGTGTTGTCCGTCTCAATTTCTCCTTGTGGGAACTATTGTATCACGGGCTATGCCAACTGCACCGCTCGTGTATGGAGTGTAGAACGGGGGTCATGTGTGAAGGCTCTTTGTCGTCACAGTGGTTCAGTTCTGGCCGTCTCCTTATCCAGTGATGCAGAAACAGCAGTTACAGGAAGCTCAGATGAGCTTGCGAAGATATGGTCTGTCAGAACCGGCAGTTGCTCTCAAGTTCTTCGAGGACATATGGGCATTGTCACATCTGTCTCTTTTGCAGCTGAAGATCAGCGCGTGGTGACAGGATCTTTTGATGGCTCTGTCAAAGTATGGCATTGTGCCTCTGGAGTTTGTGAGATGACACTGTCGACACTCTCAGGTTCGGCACCAATCCTCAGTCTCGCCGTTTGTCCGGTTGAAGACCTGGTCTTGACCGGCTCCCTTGATGGTCGCTGCCGGCTATGGGAACTTTCCACCGGGTCCATGTCCCAAGTCTTTGAAGCAGGGGAAGCTGTGCGCTCTGTTGCCATCTCCCGGGATGGTTGCCACATCTTATGTGGTGATGCCGATGGTTCTTGCAGATTCTGGAACCTGAAAACTCGCAAGTCCAAGCAAGTCTATCTCCAAAGAGGCGAACCAATCTTAAGTGTGATGCTTCATAGTCTCGACTAGTCAGAGTCGTCAGAGTCCTTGGAAATGCGAAGCTCGCCTTGGGGGATGAGACAAGACCGCGTTAAGCCCAAATCTTCAATTGGAACAACTTGGAACAACGGTTCCTTGCCGCTTCCATGCTTCATCTTTGCTTCCCAGTGAATCTAGGAGTTGCTTTGAGCAGCTGAGCGCAGGATTGGTGCGGGCCGTTGCCTGTGCTGATGATTTGCTGATTTTGCCGGTTCGGCGGAGCCGCCGGTGCAGTGGTTCCAGCCACGAGCAAAGCTTGGTTGTGAAAAAGGGCTGGGATGCTGCGATGCCTTGCGGGCTTCCAGATCGGCTCGATCTCAAGAACGAATCCAATGAATCAGTACGAATCAGTATGAATATGTATGATCATGTATGAACATGTATGAATGTTCATGAGTATTTTCAATTATCAGCTTTCCAGCTTTCCAGCTGTCCAGCTTTACCTTGTTTTTCCCTGGGGGATGCACTCCTCGTCAATGCTTGAGGTGGCCTGCTCCAGAGTCTTTGTCGTCAAAGCTACACCAGCTCGAGGACAGCCTTTGTACTTTGGTGGACATATCAAAGATGAAGGGAATATGTTGGATGAGTTATATTGTTAGGCTGTTTGACACTGTTTTGGCTTTGGACCGTGTTTGTGTATCCGTCTATTTCTATCTTTCTGTCTCCCTATAATATATGTCAATATAATATACATATATATATCAAATAATATGCATAGATAGACACATGTAATGTGCATAGATAGACACATGTCATGTGTATAAGAAATGACATACACACAGACACTGTAGACATGCATATGGCTCAGCACTGGATTTGGTCGTCACATCAAACGTTCCAGGAGCCATGCCTGCAACAACCGCTGCCCTGTAGATACCTTGGCTGAAGCTTGTCATTTTGATTGCAGATTCTCAGAGAGTCATCAGATCAAAGCAAAGAATTTGAAGAGGAGTTTCGGCCTAATTTGATCAGATCATGAGAAGGACAGGAAGCGCCACTAGAGGTCAGTAACATCCTGAGAGTGCGGAGCTGTATCATTTGCATGGCAGCAGAATTCATTCGGGTTTGTCAAGAAATGGAGTTTTCGGTTTGCCCCAAAAGTCACAGTCCCATCCCAATGATTTCCAATGCATAAAATGATGGGACCATTTGCATTAAAATGTGTATTTCGGGGTACCCCATTCCCCCATTTGTGATCTCCTGTTAACCTCCAGGGTTCCTGTCAGGTCAGAGTACTATCGCCATGACGGTGTCCGCATTACGTCTGTGCCTGTGAAAACGTGGGTGATCCGGTCAACCAACAGCAAACCGATGTGAACATGTGGCAAAACCATGCAAAACCATCTTTCTTGGGATGAACATCCAGCATACATCCAGCTATATCAGGCTATATCATCTATTGTGATCCTCATTACAGGGTATCCACGAGGGATTTGATGTACACCTAGATGACAACGTTTCTAAATGAGCTAAGGATAGCTAAGGCATGATCCCTATGCGCCCGGCATGGCCGAAAAGTATGGCATGCCGGGCAAGACGGACAATGAAGGGTGGTCCCCTCATGTCTTCATCGCTGTGTTCTGGCCGTCTGATAATGTTTTGATCCTCAGAATCTTAGAGTATCTTTGGGGTTGCGTGAACTTTTTATATCACCCGGGGCATTTGCTTGGCCAAGTAGCCAACGCTTCAAAGTCGTGGCAGGTTTGACCCATATGCCGACACCGTGGGTCCAGGCACGTCTCACTATGGACCGCGGGTCTGTGAAGCAGCCGACGACTTGTCAGCTGCGAGGCATCTATGGAGGCATTGTGAAGCGTGATGAGAATGGCCAGATTGTCATTGGCAGGCCTGAGGGAACGTCTCAAAATCAATGAATCCACCCAAAGTGGATGTTTATACCCAAATGACCAGTTTTGTGGGTTGATAGGGACCTAATTTTGAGCCATCAAGTCCTGTTTGAAAAGGCTTGCCGAAATGTCTTGATGTCCTTGATGTCAAGTCTTGCTAAAACACTGCCGAGATCCAGAGGGAAAGGCAGCTGGACAAAAGCCAGATTGGCTCTGGGCGCTGGCTGTATCAAACCAAACGGCTCCTGTTGAATCAACGTGACTCAGTCAGTCTTTCCCTGCCTTGCGTAGGCAGTACCAGAACCACAATCCAAGACCAGGGCCAGTCTACGCAGGTGGCGGCTACACGCCTATCAATGAGGCCCTGCTCTCGTTGTTCTTGTCAACTTCTTGGAAGAATAGATGGGTTTATGCAAAACAAGAGCCCAAAATGGCAATTTCAAATTGAAAAACGATGATAAACCGATAAACCCAAATAAATCAGTTGAGCCAGCTTCGAACGGATCTTGTTTTGTCCGTCCCATCCAGGCCTTGCGGAAGGGTCCAGCAGCTTTGAAACCGTTTGGAGCTCAAAATTGGTGGCACACCAGGGCCAGTTGGGCTCGTCTGCTTCGACAGAGAAAGAGGATGAACACGTTTACCACTGCCTGATCTAAAGATGCAGCAATCTCCAAAGAACCAGTCCCAGCTAGAGTAAACTCCATTTCAAATTTTGGGAGGCCCCATGATAACCAGTTATGGAGACGCTGCAAACATGGGATTCCTGCTGTGATACGCGCAAACAAGATCGGCAAGATCCATATTTTTTTCCCAGTGCCTTCCAAGAGTCCACTTCTGGATGAGGCTTTTGGACAAATATCCAGATTTGGTCAATGATATTTCGACGGGAGGCCGGGGACCGTAGATGACCTCCAAGAAAGGGGGTGCGCAATGGATCTGTTGCAATGTTGCAGCATGTTGTAGCTTCAATTTGTGTAGCAATTGGAACCTCCCAAGAGTGTCTGACTTCAATTCAAGCAGATGAGCCTGCAAATACTGTGTTCAAAAACTATCGGACGTCTGTAGCATGTGGTTTCTTCTACGGCTCTAGGGATTTTGAAACAAGTCTCCATGGCGTTCTGAAAGACATTAAGAACTAATTATCGGAGGAAGTTTAGAAGTCAAACTTCCGACAATATGGACAGATGAAAAGCAGAGATGGGAAGAGTCAGAGAAGAGAAGAGAAGAAGAAAGAGAAAGTCTCAGAAGAAAGAAGATCCAGGTGCGCGAAAAGGTAGGAAAGTCACGAAACACTGTGTTTTTCCAATGATTTGTGGCTCTGGAGGGTCGAAAAGTAGGCTCGCTAAAGCGGCGGGTGCGGAGCCAGCTGGCCAGATGAGAGATGAAAAATTGCACGCCGTTGTGGCGTGAAGCACATTTCGAAGTCAAAATGTACAAAACACTTCAGCTCCGGAGCACTTTTAGAAGTTGCGCTGTCGAAAAAGTGCACGCCGTTGTGGCGCGAAGCACATTTCGAAGTCAAAATGTACAAGACACCTCAGAAGGCGCGCTGTCGAAAAAGTGCACGCCGTTGTGGCGCGAAGCACATTTCGAAGTCAAAATGTACAAAGCACTTCAGCTCCGGAGCACTTTTAGAAGTTGCGCTGTCGAAAAAGTGCACGCCGTTGTGGCGTGAAGCACATTTCGAAGTCAAAATGTACAAAACACTTCAGCTCCGGAGCACTTTTAGAAGTTGCGCTGTCGAAAAAGTGCACGCCGTTGTGGCGCGAAGCACATTTCGAAGTCAAAATGTACAAAGCACACCATGCTCGGACCACTTTTGGAAGTTGAGATGTCGAAAAAGTGTACGCCGTTGTGGCGCGAAGCATATTTCGAAGTCAAAATGTTAAAAAAACACCACATGCTCGGACCACTTTTTGACGTTCAGATGTCGTTTCGCGTGGCAGGCGCAAGACATTGTGCACCTTGTCAAAAGTGAGCAAAACGTGAGTGTTTTGTTGCATGTCCAAAAACGATGGCAGGCGTGGGACATTTGAAGAAGATCTGCAAAGATGCATTTTCCGTCGTGGGTGCAGTACAAGAGACATGTCCATCAGATCTGTTAGGAAGTCTGGGCGCTGATTTCCTGAGGGGGGTTGAATTTTGGAACATCAGATCTTCAGGTTTGCTGAGATGATTTTGTGTGACAGGTGCAGCACTTCGTACGACCTGGCATCACTTTTTCGTGGCAGGCGCAGTACTTTAGACAGGTGGAGTGGAAAAATCGCAGAACGCATTGGCACAAGGCCGTCAGCTCTGCTCAACGTTCCATTTTTGAAGGAAGTCTCGCAGAATTGCTTCGTTTTTGGGTGTTGTCAACTTTGAAAAATGAGGAAGTCTCGCAGAATTGCTTCGTTTTTGACGTTGTCAAGTTCAAAAATTGAGGATGTGTCGCAGAATTGCTCCGTTTTTGATGTTGTCAAGTTTAAAACCTGAGGATATCTCGCAGAATAGCTTCGTTTTCAAGCTTGCAGATAGACAGATAGAGAGACAACTACAACTGCGACTACAAGTACAAGTACCACTACACTACACTACTAGTACAGCTACAAGTGCAAAAATACTACGCTACATTAAACAACACTAAGTACGCTATGCTACACTAATTACATCTAATTACGCTACACTACACAAATTGCAGTACACCTACTACAACGGCAACTACTACAACAGCAACTACTACAACAGCAACTGCTACAACAGCAGCTACTACAACAGCAACTACTACAACAGCAACGGCTACAACAGCAACTGCTACAACAGCAACTGCTACAACAGCAACTACTACAACAGCAACTACTACAACAGCAACTACTACAACAGCAACTACTACAACAGCAACTACTACAACAGCAACTACTACAACAGCAACTACTACAACAGCAACTACTACAACAGCAACTACTACAACAGCAACTACTACAACAGCAACTACTACAACAGCAACTACTACAACAGCAACTACTACAACAGCAACTACTACAACAGCAACTACTACAACAGCAACTACTACAACAGCAACTACAACAGCAACTACTACAACAGCAACTACTACTACTACAACAGCAACTACGCAACTACGACTACGACTACGACTACTACTACGACTACTACTACGACGACGACGACGACGACGACGACGACTAGGACGACGACGACTACTACCACCACCACCACAGCTACAACTACAATTACATCTACACTACATTACACTACACTGCACTAATTAAACTGCAGTACATTACAGCTACAACTACAACTACACTACGTTACGCCAAACTACACTACACTAATTACGTTACATTACACTACAACTGCAACTACCACTACATTGCACTACACGACACTACACTACAACTACAACTACACTACTTTACGCTACAATACACTAGACTACGCTACACTATACCACGCTTCAGTACACAACACTACAGTACACTAATTACACCACACAACAACTATAACTGCAACTGCAACTACTTTTCAACTACAACTTCAAACTACAACTCCACTACGCTACAACTACAACTACACCTACAACTACAACTGCGCTACACCACACTACATCCAGCAGTTGTGGTGAGGTGACCACTGCAACCATTGCAGCCACTCCGGAAAACACAACTCCAACCACCTTTCGGTCCATCAGTGGGTTTGCTCTGCCATCCGTGATTCACAACAACCAACCTCTCCTATAGGCCCACTATTTTTGAAACTTCTGCCGCCGCTTTGTGCGGTACTATTGGTATAATCCCTAGCATATGTTGTCCAAAAACATGATCCACGTAAACCCAACGGTTGATCATTCTCGCCATTAAAATGTCAAATGTCCGTAAATGTCAACCCCATCCTCATGGCAGTTATCGTGCCCAGAGGTGCGACACCTCTTCATATGTGTGGTATGGGCCAAGCTCTCAGGCACAGGCAGATGTATCAGTCCTGAAAGAATTTCTAGCAAGGCTCGCAACCACCCGCAGCACTTTTTTTCTCATCAAACTTTTAGGGTTTGATGTTAGACATCATCGCCCGTTTGTGTTGATGTCTGGTGCTGATGCCCGTTTGCCAATAAGCCGTGCCAAATCGTTGCCGTCGCTGGGGGACCCCAAAAGGGGTCCGAGCTTCTCTCAGGCTCCACGTTTCGGCCGTCCAGTGAGTGCAGCCCGAGCGAGTTCTCAGCCCCGGGAACCCGCATCGCCCCTGGGAAGACCATCCCAAGGGAAAACAGGACGAGGATATAAAGATCAGCAACGACCAGCTGCCCCAGCTGCCCCAGCTGCCCCAGCTGCTGAATTCAAGGAGTGGAAAGCAGTACCTGTCACAGAGTTGCTGCCTTCAGAGGTTTCAAAGGCGATTCGGAGAATTGCATCTCAAACAGGTGGTGGGGTTGTCATCGAAATGCAATGGGGCAGCAGCGCATACTTGCCAGCACACAATGGGGGGCAAAAGTACAGGGATTGTGCGCAACGACTGCAACAGTTTATTTCTGGAAGGCTATCAAGAGGTTCCCCACTGCCAGTGCATATCGTGGACAAGCCAATACGCTTCAGCAAACGTTGCAGTCACTCCTTGATTATATAGAGAGCAGCCTTTTCGGGGCTTTGCCTTTTTTCGATTCTGGCTATTCTTGGCCGTCAAACCACGAGCTAGTGTCATAGGGTCCATAAGACTTCTTTAAGTCCACAATCACAGTAAAGCCACATTTGTGCATTGACGCACTACGCAAGTCTTAGTATCGCTCCGAACCCTTGGCAAGTGAGGTGGCATCTACGACCAATTCTCCGACTGGGAGAGAGCCTGGGATTTGGTCGCTTCAAATCGTTCCTATGCGGCAGGCCCTGCAAGTCGACTTGGAGCATTTGAAGTGCATCTGGTTCAGAGCACCTGGAGTCCCAAGCTTTGTGCAGGGAAACTTGAGGGAGACCAAAGCCACAATGGCCCAGCAGTCAGTGGATCTTGGGGCATTCTGTGTTCCGCTTGCGCTCATCGTGCAGAGGGACATCAGGTGGCTGGGGCAGCTCTCAGAACAGACACGCAAGAGCAACATACACTTTTGCATTCAAAGCTCTGGACAAGACATTGGCCAGATTTTTGGAGTGTGCTTGGCAAAATCGGTGCTCTGGTGATTCAAGAAGCGCCAGCGGTGCAAAGACCAGTGCTGCTGAAACCAATTTCTTTTGCCAAAAAGCAGTGCAGAGAACTCAGGCCTTGTAGCTTTACATCTCAGCAGATGATGATCGGTTCTGGGTTTCCGGACCGGCGTCCTGCAATTGAGCAGGAACTGTCCGAGTTGATTGCCCAGCATTTTTCCAGCTGTTCCTGTGGACAATGGAAAATTGTCGGGGAGAGGAGCAAAGTTTTTGTGGAGGAAGCTCTTCAAGAACATGGTGTTTCTTCCCCTTGCACCGTTACTCTTCTGTGGGGTCAGAATGGAAGTCCTTACAAGTCCGACCTAGATCTCATGACCTGGGTGGATGGGACCCAGCTCTTTTATAGTAACAAACAAGTTGGCAACTGCAAGTTGGATTTTGACACCCATGCTCGAGAGGGAGACTTCAGGAAGGACCCGGCTGAGAATCTCTCATTGGGTCAGACCGGAACATTCGTTATCCAAGTGACCAACTTTAACGATCGGGACTATGCGGACATCCCCTTCAAGGTGCTGGTCAGGAGATCTGGTCAAGTGAGCGAGGCCTCCGATGCAGTTGTTTTCATTTCGTTGGTGGTTTCAACATGTTTCATTTCTCATCCTGCCTGGGAGGACTATCAAATTTGACTATGCTTAGTTTTTAGCTTTTATTATTCAAAGGGTTGAGAATGCCATGGTTTCTGAATCTACAAAGTGTCTAGGTTTTGCCACACATTGTGCTTTGTGGTTGTCGAGGCAGAGATCTATGATCGGGTGTGGAAGCAAGGTCGACAAAAAGAAGATCCAATTGAGGTTTGCACTGTCACAGTTTCTGAAGAGGATCTGAAGGTGAAAGACATTCGGCTGCAACGTGTGCAAACTTGCGACTATGCATTGAGCAAGTGCAGCTGCGGACATAAGCTGGAGCTTCACAGAGTCACCAGAATTTTACAAAATCATGGTTTCGAAGGACAGGATTTTGAAAACTTTGCAGCCGAACTTCGAGATGAATGGGATGGAAGGCGGGGTCAACAAACATGTCCAGTCGTTCAGCATCAGTTGATTGATTGAGTCAACATGAAATGCTAGTTAGCCATAGTTAGCCTAGTTCAACCCTGCAGGGATCTTCGCGCCTTCATTGGCCACTTCGTTGAAAGACTGCAAGGCCCTGAGCGAGAAAGCTACAAACAGAGAGAGGAGGTGGCACAGCAGCGATTTCTGGAGATCAGAGATGCCTGCATCGGTGAAGAGAACCTTGATCGAGACCTCAGTTCTTTTGGGTCATTTTTGAACAAAGGATTGGTCGTTGGTCAGTTTTGACTTTTTAAGCTCTTGTGACACATGGAAGTAGGTTCTTTGCAAGACGAAGCTATTTCAGACTTTTTTGGGTGAGAAGCAGCAAGGTATCGAATTCGCCAGGATTATGCAAAAGAATTTGACAAAGGCCAAGTAGAAGCAGAGAAGATCTATGCGCAGCTCTGCCTTTCGCTTGTGCGAAAGGTTCCAGAACACAACCTGGACTTAAGTCGGCTTCAATCGGGTGAAGCTTCTGCACAGGAGGCTAATGAGAAACTGATGGCAGCCATTCAACTGAATGAGGAGCGGAAACGCAAGTTGTCCAGCTGGTTGGATGAGGTGGGGCGGATGGTCAGGGTCAGGTTTATGAACAGCTGGGAGATGAGCATTCAGAGATGTCTCCGATGCGCTTCCATAGATGTCATTCTTGGATTTTTTTGATGAATTTCCACAGCAGTTGGCACTGCCCCGACCCCTCCATTTCCCAATTCGACATTTGTCGCCTGTTGGATTCTTTCAATTTCTTTCAATTTCTTTCAATTTCTTTCAATTTCTTTCCGAATTGTTTTTCTCCATTTTTCTCGTTTTTTTCCGAAATTCCGCAGGTGAACAGCTGGAGATCCCCTGCGGATGTCTTCGACGCCATCCTACAGCAGCGCCCTGACATTCATCGCCTGCTCTCCGGCGACGAGGCGGCGGAAGAGGACGCGTTGGATGCGGAAATTACACGCTTCGGAGTGAAGATCGAAGAAGCATCCAGGACCGGTGGGATATCCCATAGGTATATATATATATATAATATAATATAATATAATATAATATAATATAATATAATATGTTATTATATGAAATAATGAAATAAAGTATATAGTCTATACTATACATTATATTATGTTATATCATATTACATAATTTGTATTATATTGCATTATATTACATTATATTATATTGTATTATATTCTAAATTATAATATGATATGATATTATACAATCTAGTACACCATAATATAATAAAATAAAATAACATATAATGTAATGTAATATGATATAATATAATATGATATAATCACACACACATATATATATATATCATGTATACATATTAATTTGATGTTAATATCCGAAAAATCATTACCACATCAATCAACATCCCATGGTATATATGTTCTATCATGCCAATATCCCACTCAAATTGCTATAATTTTGGGAGATTGCTGATTGTTCAACCAATAAATACCATGTTTGCTCCAGCCTGTACTTGGAGGATCATTGCACTTAGTACGTGGGCAATAACCATGGTTAGCAAGCTTCCCAAATAGGGTTATAGTTGCTATATATCTGATTTTAAAATAGGCTATATTCCCAGCTACTAGCCATTAACTAACCAGTATGATCCTTCAAGTGAAACTCAAGATCTCGAGATTGTTTGGAGTTTCATCGAGCAAAAATGGGGGGGATTCACTACAATGTGGCAAGTGATTGCCACTGGGAACAGTTTTTCCACCCTTTATTTGCTCAATTTTAAACCTGATATGTGGGGTGTTGGGAGCACTCCTGCAGGAAGTATGACAAATCGGACATTTACCAAAGTCAGATCCATCAACTGACGGAGAAGTTTGATGCACAGCTGGCAGACTATGTCCATTCACTTGGGCTTGGCACCTGATGGTCCTTCAAGCCCATGGGGTCCATTTCTTCTTTGTACGAGGCATTTCAGAGAGAGTTGATCGAGGATCCCAGCGTGTTTTCACCCTCACAGAAACATGTTTGATCATGTTTGATCTTTGTGTACGCTGTTGCAACTGGGGACCTTTGACTCAAGTGCCGCTTCTAAGAGGAGTGCACGATTCTGAAAGAACCGAGGAACTCCTTCCAATTTCTACAATTCCTCAGCCACTTTTTTGATGTCAAAGTCACCTCTAGGCTGACTGCTTCTCAGTGAAGAGACTGCACCAGGCCTCCTGAAACAGGAGATGTTGACCTGTTGACCCATGACCCAGATTTTTGTCCCCAGATAGATGGGAAAACGCTTCTTGCACACATTGTCATTGGGATTTGTCTGAAATCCATGTTTCTAACATATTTTTCCACCATAAATGTCAATTTTTTGGGGTATCACGGTACCACCCATTTTCAGAGACACCGGTTTGTCGCAGATTTTTTGCCATCCTTTTTAAAAAACTGAACATCCCCGTTAGTGAGATTTGGATCGGGCCAGCCATCAGCTCGAGGCCGGGATAACCAACATGCAACTGAGTACTTGATCAAGTCCTGCTGGCACGTTTCAATCGTGACTGGGTCAGGGTAGAAACCCCAAAAAGGGGATTCAGGACCCTTCAGGTATCTTCAGGTATCTTCAGGTATCTTCAGGTATCTTCGGGTACAATGTGGTAAACCCAATTTCATCAACCCCAGAATTCACCATAGATGAGTACATTTTTCCCATCTTTGATGGTGGGTTTTTATTGGGTTTTTATGCCCAACTCAGGCGTGGAGCCCTGGTGGAGACCATGGACACCTATGGTATGACCCCTTTGCACAGGATGGCCTCGAACAACTTGCCGGTGGGTGTCGGGCACCTGGTGATGTCTCGAATTTCCAAGGTGAAAGAGGCGCAAATTTTTGATCTGAAAATAGATCTGAAAATAGTCTTAATTGTGAAGTCATAGATGTCATACGAAACTCAGGAAACTCCCAATTCTTGGAGAGTGCAGTTTGAGTTTCTACACTCAGGCGAAGGCACTATTGGAGGCGAAAGCAGATCCCAACAACCGGGGACAGGCGAGACAGTTCAACAATGATGGACAGCTTTAACTTTAGATCATAGACATAACTGCAGGACTGTGAGACCCTGGAGTCTTGAGAAAGTTTTGGGATTCTCATTGAGACACTGCCAGATGGTGCAATTCCAACCTACCCTGAATTTGATCTCTTTTCAGGCCAGGGCCTCGCCCATGGAGATTGCCAAGGCACATGTTCCTTGTGCTAATCACAGATGCTTTTGATGCAAATGATGCAGATGGGATTGCACAGCCATCAAGCCAACAGCTAAAATGCGATGTGTATCATCATTTTATTCTGAAATGGCAACTTGGGGTATGTGATTATATCCCATTTTCGGGCAAACCCCATGTTGAGTGTGGTGTTGCGTTGCTGAAAGCACAGGACTCCCGAGCCAGAGAAGTCATGGCCGTGATCGCCGAGTGCCTCGGCAGGTTAGAAGCACTGTCAACCCACCAGGGAGCAGAACTTCTTCAGCGGTTGCAGGTACATGAGCAAACCCCAGCCAGTTTTTTCGCAGCTTCGCTGGAGCCTCAAGCTGGTACCTTTATTCAGAGCACGACTTCGGGACGAGAATTTCTTTTTGGGTGTAGTTCGCATCCACATCTACTTCTCAAAGAAACTGAGTGAACCAGTCCAGGCCCACCTTGTTGCCACATGGCCTTGCCATCGTGCGCCGCCAGGCGTGTCGAACTCCGGAGTGGCCAGTGTGAATGCCATCTATATCGAGCGAGACCCAAAGGCAGCTCGACCCAGGGCCCGGCTGGTTGGTAGCTTCAAATGTTGGTTTAAGCACCGATAAATGGGGAGTCTGCTGACCAAAAATGGGATATCACTGATATCATCACCAACAAACCTCCTTTTGATGAACGCAGTCCCTGCTGGTGACTTCTCACTGGTGAAAACATGTCGTGTTTCAGGTGATCCCGGTGGGTTTCAGCTTGACCTGCAGCGAGCAGCGTTGGGACGCTGAGAAGATGTGCGGAAGCTCAGACCACGGGGATTCGACTGGAAACAAATGGAATCTACATGAATTTATCAAATTTGGTAAGCAATAACTCTCTGCAAATTTGGTTGGTGAGTATTTTCTTTGGAAAATTTGTTCAAATTGGGTTGGTGAGATATTCTCTGGCAAGTTTGGTTGGTGAGTATTTTTTCTGGCCAAGTTTGGTTGGTGAGAATATTCTCTGGCAAATTTGGTTGGTGAGTATATTCTCTGGCAAGTTTGGTTGGTGAGTATTTTTTCTGGCCAAATTTGGTTGGTGAGAATATTCTCTGGCAAATTTGGTTGGTGAGTATATTCTCTGGCAAGTTTGGTTGGTGAGTATTTTTCTGGCCAAATTTGGTTGGTGAGTATATTCTCTGGCAAATTTGGTTGGTGAGTATATTCTTTGGCCACTTTGGTTGGTGAGTATATTCTCTGGCAAGTTTGGTTGGTGAGTATATTCTCTGGCAAATTTGGTTGGTGAGTATATATATATATTCTCTGGCAAATTTGGTTGGTGAGTACATTCTCTAGCAAATTTGGTTGGTGAGTATATTCTTTGGCCAAGTTTGGTTGGTGAGTATATTCTCTGTCAATTTGGTTGGTGAGTATATTCTCTGGCCAATTTGGTTGTTGAGTATATTCTCTGGCAAATTTGGTTGGTGAGTATATTCTCTGGCAACTTTGGTTGGTGAGTATATTCTTTGGCAAATTTGGTTGGTGAGTATATTCTCTGGCAAATTTGGTTGGTGAGTATATTCTTTGGCAAATTTGGTTGGTGAGTATATTCTCTGGCCAAGTTTGGTTGGTGAGTATATTATTTGGCAAATTCTGTTGGTGAGTATATTCTCGCCAATTTGGTTGTTGAGTATATTCTCTGGCAAATTTGGTTGGTGAGTATATTCTCTGGCAAATTTGGTTGGTGAGTATATTCTCTGGCAACTTTGGTTGGTGAGTATATTCTCTGGCAAATTTGGTTGGTGAGTATATTCTCTGACAAATTTTGTTGGTGAGTATATTCTTTGGCAAATTTGGTTGGTGAGTATATTCTTTGGCAAATTTGGTTGGTGAGTATATTCTCTGGCAAATTTTGTTGGTGAGTATATTCTCTGGCCAATTTGCTTGTTGAGTATATTCTCTGGCAACTTTGGTTGGTGAGTATATTCTCTGGCAAATTTGGTTGGTGAGTATATTCTCTTGCAAATTTGGTTGGTGAGTATATTCTCTGGCAAATTTGGTTGGTGAGTATATTCTCTGTCAATTTGCTTGGTGCGTGTATTCTCTGGCAAATTTGGTTGGTGAGTATATTCTCTGGCAAGTTTGGTTGGTGAGTATATTCTCTGGCAAATTTGGTTGGTGAGTATATTCTCTGGCAAATTTGGTTGGTGAGTATATTCTCTGTCAATTTGGTTGGTGAGTATATTCTCTGGCCAATTTGGTTGGTGAGTATATTCTCTGGCAAATTTGGTTGGTGAGGCAAATTTGGTTGGTGAGTATATTCCCTGGCAAATTTGGTTGGTGAGTATATTCCCTGGCAAATTTAGTTGGTGAATATATTCTCTGTCAATTTGGTTGGTGAGTATATTCTCTGGCAAATTTGGTTGGTGAGTATATTCTCTGGCAAGTTTGGTTGGTGAGTATTTTTTCTGGCCAAGTTTGGTCGGTGAGAATATTCTCTGGCAAATTTGGTTGGTGAGTATATTCTCTGGCCAATTTGGTTGTTGAGTATATTCTTTGGCAAATTTGGTTGGTGAGGCAAATTTGGTTGGTGAGTATATTCTTTGGCCAAGTTTGGTTGGTGAGTATATTCTCGTCAATTTGGTTGGTGAGTATATTCTCTGGCAAATTTGGTTGGTGAGTATATTCTCTGGCAAATTTGGTTGGTGAGCATATTCTTTGGCCAAGTTTGGTTGGTGAGTATATTCTCTGGCAAATTTTGTTGGTGAGTATATTCTCTGGCAAATTTGGTTGGTGAGTATATTCTCTGGCAAATTTGGTTGGTGAGTATATTCTCGTCAATTTGGTTGGTGAGTATATTATTTGGCAAATTTGGTTGGTGAGTATATTCTCGTCAATTTGGTTGGTGAGTATATTCTCTGGCCAATTTGGTTGTTGAGTATATTCTCTGGCAAATTTGGTTGGTGAGTATATTCTCTGGCAACTTTGGTTGGTGAGTATATTCTCTGGCAAATTTGGTTGGTCAGTATATTCTCTGTCAATTTGGTTGGTGAGTATATTCTCTGGCAAATTTGGTTGGTGAGTATATTCTCTGGCAACTTTGGTTGGTGAGTATATTCTCTGGCAAATTTGGTTGGTGAGTATATTCTCTGACAAATTTTGTTGGTGAGTATATTCTTTGGCAAATTTGGTTGGTGAGTATATATATTCTCTGGCAAATTTGGTTGGTGAGTACATTCTCTGGCAAATTTGGTTGGTGAGTATATTCTTTGGCCAAGTTTGGTTGGTGAGAATATTCTCTGGCAAATTTGGTTGGTGAGTATATTCTCTGGCCAATTTGGTTGGTGAGTATGCTCTGGCAAATTTGGTTGGTGAGGCAAATTTGGTTGGTGAGTATATATTCTCTGGCAAATTTGGTTGGTGAGTACATTCTCTGGCCAATTTGGTTGGTGAGTATATTCTTTGGCCAAGTTTGGTTGGTGAGTATATTCTCTGTGAATTTGGTTGGTGAGTATATTCTCTTGCAAATTTGGTTGGTGAGTATATTCTCTGGCAAATTTTGTTGGTGAGTATATTCTTTGGCCAAGTTTGGTTGGTGAGTATATTCTCTGGCAAATTTGGTTGGTGAGTATATTCTCTGGCAAATTTTGTTGGTGAGTATATTCTCTGGCAAATTTGGTTGGTGAGTATATTCTCTGGCAACTTTGGTTGGTGAGTATATTCTCTGGCAAATTTGGTTGGTGAGTATATTCTCTGGCCAAGTTTGGTTGGTGAGTATATTCTCTGGCAAATTTTGTTGGTGAGTATATTCTCTGGCAAATTTTGTTGGTGAGTATATTCTCTGGCAAATTTTGTTGGTGAGTATATTCTCTGGCAAATTTGGTTGGTGAGTATATTCTTTGGCCAAGTTTGGTTGGTGAGTATATTCTCTGGCAAATTTTGTTGGTGAGTATATTCTCTGGCAAATTTGGTTGGTGAGTATATTCTCTGGCAAATTTGGTTGGTGAGTATATTCTCTGGCAAATTTGGTTGGTGAGTATATTCTCTGGCAAATTTGGTTGGTGAGTATATTCTCTGGCAAATTTGGTTGGTGAGTATATTCTCTGGTTATTTCATAGATGACTTCCGATTAGAAAGGGGAATTTGCACAAGATTATTAGCAGAGGGTAGCAGAAATGGCTGTGAGGGCACCATCTAGATATACCATTTTCAAGTAGTTTTCCATTTTTTTTTGGATTACAGCAATTCACAAATAGAGTAGCTGGAAACCTTGAAATCTGAGGTTTTTATCAGATGTAACTATCATCCATAGCCCGAAGACTCTGGACTTCACCTGCTAAAAAAGCGATGCGAAGGCCCACTGCTTGCCGCTACAGGTGGTTACAGTTGAGCGATCAAAAGACCGCATGGTATGAGGCGGAGAATGGTGCCAATCTCAGCCTCGCTGGAAAGCAGGGAAAGCATCGATGGAATACTCACTGTTGATGGCAGTAGCTCGGTTTGCGCACTGGGATGTGAAAGTGCTGCAAGAGAGAGTGGAACCAGAGAAGCCTAAAGAGAAGTGCATGCACTTGTATGTTGGCATCTGTCAAAGATTGTAGGTGCCTACATCTATTGGAACAAGGGCGATGGGCAATGGCTCCTTGGAGAAAAGTTAGGAATTACAATTACAGGAATCGGACAGTCTTTTGAAATTTCCTGACTTCTCAAACTTTCTGATGCAGCCAATTTTCTTCGGGACTATGACAATGACTGTGACTGTCCTTTGACATGAATCCCTGGTTGACAGGAAATCCTTTTTTTCCCAAAAGCATCTTCGATGCTTGGGTTCTCGTTTAGTTGTTTAACCGCGTGGGGGAGCGACCTGGCTCGAACGGTGGTGTGCGGACGGCGTGGGTGCAAGGGAAAGGAAAGGAAAGGAAAGGAAGGGAAAGGAAAGGAAAGGAAAGGAAGGGAAAGGAAGGGAAAGGAAGGGAAAGGAAGGGAAAGGAAGGGAAAGGAAGGGACAGGAAGGGAAAGGAAGGGACAGGAAGGGACAGGAAGGGAAAGGAAGGGAAAGGAAGGGTAACGAAGGAAAAAGGAAGGGAAAGGAAGGAAAAAGGAAGGAAAAAGGAAGGGAAAGGAAGGGAAAGGAAGGGAAAGGAAGGGAAAGGAAGGGAAAGGAAGGGAAAGGATGGGAAAGGAAGGGAAAGGAAGGGAAAGGATGGGAAAGGAAGGGAAAGGAAGGAAAAGGAATGGAGCGGACGGCTGCCGACGGCCTGGGTGCAAGGGAGTGGCTGGAAATGGGTGGGGAGAAGAAGCCGCTGGTGATGAGCGACCTTGGCTGCGCGGACGGCTGCGGACGGCAAATGGGTGCGGAGAACTGCGCGGATGGCTGCGGATGGCGTGGGTGCAACGGAGTGGCTGGAAATGGGTGGGGAGAAGAAGCCGCTGGTGATGAGCGACCTTGGCTGCGCGGACGGCTGCGGACGGCAAATGGGAGAGAAGAAGCCGCTGGTGATGAGCGACCTTGGCTGCGCGGACGGCTGCGGACGGGGAATGGGTGCGGAGAACTGCGTGGACGGCTGCGGACGGCGTGGGTGCAACGGAGTGGCTGGAAATGGGTGGGGAGAAGAAGCCGCTGGTGATGAGCGACCTTGGCTCCGCGGACGGCTGCGGACGGCAAATGGGTGCGGAGAACTGCGCGGACGGCTGCGGACGGCGTGGGTGCAAGGGGGTGGCTGGAAATGGGTGGGGAGAAGAAGCCGCTGGTGATGAGCGACCTTGGCTGCGCGGACGGCTGCGGACGGCAAATGAGTGCGGAGAACTGCGCGGATGGCTGCGGACGGCGTGGGTGCAACGGAGTGGCTGGAAATGGGTGGGGAGAAGAAGCCGCTGGTGATGAGCGAACTTGGCTGCGCGGACGGCTGCGGACGGCAAATGGGCGCGGAGAACTGCGTGGACGGCTGCGGACGGCGTGGGTGCAACGGAGTGGCTGAAAATGGGTGGGGAGAAGAAGCCGCTGGTGATGAGCGACCTTGGCTGCGCGGACGGCTGCGGACGGCAAATGGGTGCGGAGAACTGCGCGGACGGCTGGACGGCTGCGGACGGCGTGGGTGGGTGCAAGGGGGTGGCTGGAAATGGGTGGGGAGAAGAAGCCGCTGGTGAAGCGAGCTGGGTGGGGAGAAGAAGCCGCTGGTGATGAGCGATGAGCGACCTTAGCTGCGCGGACGGCTGCGGACGGCAAATGGGTGCGGAGAACTGCGGGGATGGGTGCGGAGAACTGCGCGGATGGCTGCGGACGGCGTGGGTGCAACGGAGTGGCTGGAAATGGGTGGGAGAAGAAGCCGCTGGTGATGAGCGACCTTAGCTGCGCGGACGGCTGCGGACGGCGGGTGCAGAGAACTGCGCGGATGGCTGCGGACGGCGTGGGTGCAACGGAGTGGCTGGAAATGGGTGGGGAGAAGAAGCCCCTGGTGATGAGCGAGCTTGGCTGCGCGGACGGCTGCGGACGGCAAATGGGTGCGGAGAACTGCGTGGACGGCTGCGGACGGCGTGGGTGCAACGAAGTGGCAGGAATGGGTGGGGAGAAGAAGCCGCTGGTGATGAGCGAGCTTGGCTGCGCGGACGGCTGCGGATGGCAAATGGGTGCGGAGAACTGCGCGGACGGTTGTGGATGGCGCGAGTGCAACGGCGTGGCTGGAAATGGATGGGGAGAAGAAGCCGCTGGTGATGAGCGAGCGTGGCTGCGCGGACGGCTGCGGACGGCAAATGGGTGCGGAGAACTGCGCGGACGGCTGCGGACGGCGTGGGTGCAAGGGGGTGGCTGGAAATTGGGAGAAGAGCCGCTGGTGATGAGCGAGCTTGGCTGCGCGGACGGGTGCGGACGGCAAATGGGTGCGGAGAACTGCGCGGATGGCTGCGGACGGCGTGGGTGCACAGAGTGGCTGGAAATGGGTGGGGAGAAGAAGCCGCTGGTGATGAGCGAGCTTGGCTGCGCGGACGGCTGCGGACGGCAAATGGGTGTGGAGAACTGCGCGGACGGCTGCGGACGGCGTGGGTGCAAGGGGGTGGCTGGATGGGTGGGGAGAAGAAGCCGCTGGTGATGAGCGAGCTTGGCTGCACGGACGGCTGCGGACGGCAAATGGGTGCGGAGAACTGCGTGGACGGCTGCGGACGGCGTGGGTGCAACGGAGTGGCTGGAAATGGGTGGGGAGAAGAAGCCGCTGGTGATGAGCGAGCTTGGCTGCGGGGACGGCTGCGGACGGCAAATGGGTGCGGAGAACTGCGCGGACGGCTGCGGACGGCGTGGGTGCAAGGGAGAAGTTGGAAATGGGTGGGGAGAAGAAGCCGCTGGAGATCAGCGAGCTTGGCTGCGCGGACGGCTGCGGACGGGAAATGGGTCGGAAATGTTTGCGGAGAGCTTCGCTGGGAGGGGGCGAGACAGCATGCTGGACATAACAAAACCGTGGAAATAGCTTGGGGAGAGCTTCGCTGGGAGGGAGCGAGACAGCATGCTGGACGGAGAGGAAATCGTGCAAATAGCTTGTAATAAGACTTGTGACATGGATGCGAAACGCTCGGCAATAGGACACTCATGGGAAAGAAACGTTTTTCCCAAAAGCATCTTCGATGCTTGGGTTCTTGTTTAGTTGTTTAACCGGGTGGGGGAGCGAGCTGGTTTGAACGGTGGTGTGCGAACGGCGTGGGTGCAAGGGAAAGGAAGGGAAAGGAAAGGAAAGGAAAGGAAGGGAAAGGAAGGGATAGGAATGGAAAGGAAGGGAAAGGAAGGGAAAGGAAGGGAAAGGATGGGAAAGGAAGGAAAAAGGAAGGGAAAGGATGGGAAAGGAAGGGAAAGGAATGGAGTGGACGGCTGCGGACGGCAAGGGTGCAAGGGAGTGGCTGGAAATGGGTAGGGAGAAGAAGCCGCTGGTGATGAGCGAGCTTGGCTGCGCGGACGGCTGCGGACGGGCAATGGGTGCGGAGAAGTACGCCGATGGCTGCGGACGGCGTGGGTGCAAGGGAGTGGCTGGAAATGGGTATAAGAAGCCGCTGGTGATGAGCGAGCTTGGCTGCGCGGACGGCTGCGGACGGGAAATGGGTGCGGAGAATTGCGTGGACGGCTGCGGACGGCGTGGGTGCAACGGAGTGGCTGGAAATGGGTGGAGAAGAAGCCGCTGGTGATGAGCGAGCTCGGCTGCGCGGACGGCTGCGGAAGGGAAATGGGCGCGGAGAACTGCGCGGAAGGCTGCGGACGGCGTGGGTGCAACGGAGTGGCTGGAAATGGGTGGGGAGAAGAAGCCGCTGGTGATGAGCGACCGTGGCTGCGCGGACGGCTGCGGACGGGCAATGGGTGCGGAGAAGTGCGCAGACGGTTGCGGCGTGGGTGCAACGGCAACGGGTGGGGAGAAGAAGCCGCTGGTGATGAGGCGAGCTTGGCTGCGCGGACGGCTGCGGACGGGCAATGGGTGCGGAGAAGTGCGCGGACGGTTGCGGATGGCGCGGGTGCAAGGGAGTGGCTGGAAATGGGTGGGGAGAAGAAGCCGCTGGTGATGAGCGAGCTTGGCTGCGCTGACGGCTGCGGACGGCAAATGGGTGCGGAGAATTGCGCGGACGGCTGCGGACGGCGTGGGTGCCAGGCAGTGGCTTGAAGTGGGTGGGGAGTAGAAGCCGATGGAGATCAGCGAGCTTGGCTGCGCGGATGGCTGCGGACGGGAAATGGGTGCGGAGAATTGCGCGGACGTCTGCGGACGGCGTGGGTGCAAGGGGGTGGCTGGAAATGGGTGGGGGAGAAGAAGCCGCTGGTGATGAACGAGCTCGGCTGCGCGGATGGCTGCGGACGGGAAATGGGTGCGGAGAACTGTGCGGAAGGCTGCGGACGGCGTGGGTGCAACGGAGTAGCTGGAAATGGGTGGGGAGAAGAAGCCGCTGGTGATGAGCGAGGTTGGCTGCGCGGACGGCTGCGGACGGCAAATGGGTGCGGCGAACTGCGCGGACGGTTGCGGACGGCGTGGGTCCAAGGGAGTGGCTGGAAATGGATGGGGAGAAGAAGCCGCTGGTGATGAGCGAGCTTGGCTGCGCGGACGGCTGCGGACGGCAAATGGGTGGGGAGAATGGCGTGGACGGCGGACGGCGTGGGTGCAAGGGAGTGGCTGGAAATGGGTGGGAAGAAGAAGCCGCTGGTGATGAGCGAGCTTGGCTGCGCGGACGGCTGCGGACGGGAAATGGGTGCAGAGAACTGCGCGGAAGGCTGTGGACGGCGTGGGTACAACTGAGGGGTGGAAAAAGTTGGGGAGAAGAAGGCGCTGGTGATGAGCGAGCTTGGCTGCGCGGACGGCTGCGGACGGGCAATGGGCGCGGAGAAGTGCGCAGACGGTTGCGGACGGCGTGGGTGCAAGGGAGTGGCTGGAAATGGGTGGGGAGAAGAAGCCGCTGGTGATGAGCGACCTTGGCTGCGCTGACGGCTGCGGACGGGCAATGGGTGCGGAGAATTGCGCGGACGGTTGCGGATGGCGCGGGTGCAACGGAGTGGCTGGAAATGGGTGGGGAGAAGAAGCCGCTGGTGATGAGCGACCTTGGCTGCGCGGACGGCTGCGGACGGGAAGAAGCCGCTGATGATGAGCGAGCTTGGCTGCGCGGACGGCTGCGGACGGCAAATGAGAATTGCGCGGGCGGCTGCGGACGGCGTGGGTTCCAGGTTGTGGCTGGAAATGGGTGGGGAGAAGAAGCCGCTGGAGATCAGCGAGCTTGGCCGTGCGGACGGCTGCGGACGGGAAATGGGTGCGGAGAATTGCGCGGACGGCTGCAGACGGCGTGGGTGCAACGGAGTGGCTGGAAATGGGTGGGGAGAAGAAGCCGCTGGTGATGTGCGAGCTTAGCTGCGCGGATGGTTGCGGACGGGAAATGGGTGCGAAGAATTGCGCGCACGGCTGCGGACGGCGTGGGTGCAAGGGAGTAGCGATAGAAATGGGTGAGGAGAAGAAGCTGCTGGTGATGAGCGAGCTCGGCTGCGCGGACGGTCGCGGACGGGAAATGGGTTCGGAGAATTGTGCGCACGGCTGCGGACGGCGTGGGTGCAAGGGAGTGGCT